CCCCCGCCTCCTGCTCGCTGCGGCTCCATGTCAGGTATGAACCTCTCACTCAGCCAGAACGCAAACAATCACGGGGCGATTCGACACTCACTCACGCCGTACGCGCTCGGTGCCCACCTCTCTATCACCATATCGACCCGCCCCTTAGCGGAGAGCCCTTTGGTGTCAGGCGTAGCCGGGCCGGGCACAGCGGGTCCTTGTTGCCCCGTCCCCGTCCTCTTCTCTGCTGTCCTGCTTTCCTTGCCGCCCCCTTTATGTTCGTTTATATCATTGTGTAATCGATATCCTATCACCAGATTTCTTAAAATAAGAAAAAAAAAAGGTTTTGCTGGCTAATTTTAAGTACCATCACTGGACATGGTCTCTTTTCTTTCCACCGTCATCAACATTATAGTATCATTTACAGCACCACCAGCTGTGTATCGCTTTTAACTTGCAGTGTCGGAGGAACAGGAACACGACACGTAAACAACAACCCTTCGTTGTCGTCCGTTCTTGCTAGCTCGCCCCACTCGCCCTCCTACCCGACAGTAGTCCGGTCTGGGCATTAATGTAGGTAGAATGCACTATGGTGATAAACAACGATACCGTCAGCCTGGCAGGGCTGTTAACGCTAATTTAACGAATAACGCCGTTAATTAACGCCGTCAACGTTAATTAACGATTAACGTTAGCGCGTAACAAGCATTAACGTTATCGCGCTACGTTACTTTTGAGGTTAGCGGCTTCACGCCGTTAACTTTAACACTTTTCTGCAGGAGGGCATAGAAATAATCCATTTTGCACGGATCTGTCCATTTCATACTATTGAATTTTGCCGCTTTATGCAATAATTGTTGTTTCCTGCATTTCCGGCGCGCACACTGCAGCTCCATCAGCTACGGTAGTCTGATTAACGTTAACGGCGTTAACAGTTAACGTTAACGTTATCGTTAGCGCGTTACATGTGTCAAAACGTATTAACGATAGCGCGTTAAGTTACTTTGGTTCGTTATCGCTTTAACGTTAGCGCGCTAACATTTCAATTTAACGTTAACAGCCCTGCAGCCTGGCGCCCAGGCCGCCCCGCCAGGCACCCGTGC